GGGGAGGCACATGACGAAGCCCCTCCCTCTGCTTCCGGCCGCCCCGCTTCCAGCCCTCATTCAGCCAGGAGGAGGCAGGAGAAGAGGGAGGGTAAGTTGCTTCCTCCCTGCCTCTCCCCACCCCTGCCTGCCTGGGGCCAGGGAGGGCCTTCGCGGGGCTTCCTTGCACTCCCGCTGGCCTTGCAGGTCTACCGCCGGGCCCCTGATGGGGCTCGGCAGTGGAGCTGCAAGGCCGGCGGTGGCGGCCGGGACCATTGGGGGCGGGGTGTGTGGCCTTATGACACACTTCCGGTGATGTCAGGGGGCGTGGCATATGCTAATGAGTTGTGCTAATGAGTTCCCCTAGCTCTTTTTCTACGAAACGACCCCTGAATACAAGCATTTGTTTCATGGCACCTTTTCATTTTAATTCTGTCCAAGACACCTTTCTTATTATGGCAAAACATCCTGATCTGAGCAGTTTAGCACAAGGAGAAATCCAGTTCTGCATGCCTTACTGTTCAGTACGCACTGAGAAAGCCTTTGGTGACAACCACAGCATGCAAACCATGGTGAAGGAGCAATATGATTTATTCACTACATCCAGTGAACAGCTATGGAAAGACCAGAGAAACTGCTGCCATAAGCGATTGTGTGCACTTCCCTGAGAATGATTCACTGGCTGTCATACTTTCAAAAAGGAGAAGTACATTAATTGTTTGAATTGATAGAAACCATTAACAGAGCCATTACAATATTGGTTGCTGGCAGAGCTGCTGTGGAATTGCAGTCATATGCCAAGGAATAGCACAAAACTATCTGAAAGAAGGAGCGGAGTATGCTGCTTCTGAAAGCTAATGGGAAGGTTTTCCAATTGGAAAGCTAACCTATTAGGTTTAATACAGAATTGCTGAAAGATATAAGGTAAGTTACTGACCTGTCGGATTTCTTCCAAGACCACTGTAAAAACCCAAAAGTAAAGTATAACCTCAAGGATTGACGGGCCTTTAGGTGGGGGTGGTTTAAAATCCACCAAGAGGACATGGGAAAACAGAAAGAGGAAAGCAAAGTACATGATAACATTTCCCATAAACACTGTGACCGGAGCAGTCCAGAATTTTTTCCATCGTGTAAACACAACTGTTCCATATGCTACACTTCCAGAAGTATCCTGTGTTTCTAATTTGGTATCTCCCCTGCAAACAAAAAGAGAAAGAAGTACTGTTTTGTTGGCTTCCCTCTTAACAAAGAGAAATTGTAGAGCAGGAGCTGGCTAGGCAAATGTCTTCAAATAAAGTCCAGCTTCTTGCCCAGAAAAGTAATGATTTCCCCAAATTCTGCAGTAAAAGTATACATTGGAGGGCTGAGAACATGTCATCCACAGGCTCAAGCATCAGTGAGGTGTAGTTGTTAGAGCACTGGACTAGGATAGGGGCAACCCAAGATCAAAATCCTATTCTACCATGCAGGGGTCATTTCCTGCAGGAGCGCACAGGAGCGGAGCTCTGGCAGTAAAGAGCCCAGGGGGCGGACACATGCAACAAGCCCCACCCCCTGCTCCAAGCAGCCCAGGGCCACGAGGAGCACAAGGATCTGCGCTCCCACCCCATAGCTAGCGATCCAAAACACTCCAGTGGAGCCTGAGCGGTGGGTGTTGCCTTCTGACACACTTCCGGTGATGCCAGGGGGTGTGGCATATGCAAATAAGCTATGCTAATTAGTTATGTTAATGAGCTCCTGCACCTCTTTTTCTACAAAATGACCCCTGCTACCATGGAAGCTTACTGAGTGACCTTGGGCTAGTTACTCACAGGGTGATTTCCCACTAGCGCTGCTCGTCCCTTTTGGCTCGATAGTAGGTGTCAATTTCACACAAGCTGCTGCGCGGCTGCATTTTGCCTCGCAGCTTGGTGCGATTTTCCCCGCATCTACTCAATCCTCAAAAAACAGGATTGAGTAGGCGCGGGGGAAATCGCACCAAGCTGCGAGGCAAAATGCGGCTGCGCAGCAGCTTGTGTGAAATTGACACCTACCATCGAGGCAAAAGGGACCAGTTAGCCCGGAGCAGCGCCAGTGGGAAATCACCCTCAGTCTAACCTGCCTCACAGGGTGGTCACTGTAATAATAAAACAGAGGAGGGAGAAGAGTTGGTTTTTATACCACTGCAGTGGCTCAAGTGGTTAAGACGCTGAACTGCAGGATAGAAGGTCGGTAGTTCAGCAGTTCGAGACCCGAGTGTGCCGCATGACGGAGTCAGCTCCCGTCTCTGGTTCTAGCTCCTGCCAACCTAGCAGTTTGAAAGCAAGAAATTGCAAGTAGATTATTAGGTACCACTTTGGTGCACCTCGGTGTTTAGTCATGCCGGCCATATGACCACGGAAACGTCTTCGGACAGCGCTGGCTCTTCGGCTTTGAAACTGAGATGAGCACTGCAACCCTAGAGTCGGACACGACTGGCTTTTGAGCAAGGGAACCTTTTACCTTTACCTATGCTATCCACCTTGGATGGAACATTTCAGGAGCTTGGGAGTTCTGTTAGATCCAGCTGTTACCCTGTAGAAGCATGTATGACAGGCGGCAAACAGGCCTTTTTCCTAACTTTTCCTAATTGTCCCATTTGTCAAGACTCAGCATACCTAGCGATGCTATTTCATACTAAGGTAACCTCAAGACTGGATTCCTTTAAAATACTCTACATGGGGCAGCCCTTGAAGGCAACATTGGAAGCTATAATTGGTGCAGAACACAGCAGCTAAACTGTCAAGAGAAATTAGGCAATCTGAACATATTACCCCAAGTTAAAGATTGTTACACTGCATGCCATTTTGTTCCCACTCTCAGTTCAAGATGCTGATGTTAATCTTTAAAGCCCTTCACAAACGCATAGCTACAGGACCACCTCTGTCCACATGTGCCTGCAAGTCATGGATTACCACTAATTCCTCCACATAAACCGGCAGGATCTGTCATTGTTAGGGCTTTCTCACTAGCTGCACCTGTGCTACAGAAAGGGCTTTCTGAGCATGTGAGGAAGACTCTGAAAGCAGACCTTCTCCAGCAAGCTTTTGGTGAACCATGGCCTCGGCCACATGTGCCAGAAAACGCGCGCGGGGGGGAGCGTGGCTATTTGCGCCGTCGCATTCTGATCTGCCATTATGCGATCAGACGCAACGGCGGCGCACCAGGGTTTCGTCCATCGGCGCGCGCTGCAAAGAGGTCGGCCGGAGGGAATAGGCGCACGCCAGCGCGATCACACCGAATGAGTCCGTCTGCAGCCCATGGCAAACCATTTGCTAGTAGATCTTTACAGGTACTTTTTAACCGCGCACCTTTGGCGGCACGCCACGGGTGCGCTACGCTTGCCAGATGTTGCGGTGTCGTCGCGCCCCGAAAGTCCGCCCAGCATTCGTGCCTTTCGCACGGCAAATTCTCCGTGTGACCGGGGCCCATGAGTGGTAATTGTGGTTTGCTTCCTTTTATTTCCACTGGCAGGTGTGGGTGTAATTTTTGTCAATCCCCCCCTTCCTACTGTAGACCGCCTCCACCTACATACCGCTCCTGGCGGGAGGGAGCCCCCTACCCCCCAAGGAGCAGTGTTTCAGGAAGCATTTGGGGGAGGCAAGACAGTCAGCTCTGCTGACGGAACTCTTCTGATGTTCCATCAGTGGAAATTTCCCACGAGATCCAAGTGTTTATTTTGAATCTTTTGAGACCAAGTGGTGTATTCTTCACTGAAAGGTACACACACAAGAGAAATTTTCAGATATATTCCATCCACCCCACAAATATTTGATTCCTTGCGTAGTTTTAATTTCCCTGGGCTCTCCTACAAATTATTCAATAGATCTGTTATAAAAAGGCCATTTCCTCTGAGTCAGCATGACCCACTGCTTGACTGCAACGAAGTCATTATCATACTCGACTTTTGTCATGATCCCTGCCATTCCTTTAGCAGCGAGCCAATACTGTAAACATGCAGTTATGATTTCACCACAGGGCTCCTAGAGAAAAGCAGAGGAGGACAGCAGAGACTTTTAAAAAAAAATGCCATGAAATAACGGCAAATTGTATTTATTTATTTATTTATTGTATTTACACCCTGCCCTCCCCGCAAGCGAGCTCAGGGCGGCTCACAAGAGAGCACAAGTGCCCATGCATAAAAACAAGAGAAAAACAATAAAAGGAGCAGAAACCTGGCTAGCTAAAAAATATTAGCTCATACTGTCTCAGTGCATTAAAGTAAAGGTAAAGGTTCCCTTGCTCGAAAGCCAGTCGAATCCGACTCTAAGGTTGCGGTGCTCATCTCCATTTCAAAGCCGAAGAGCCAGCGCTGTCCGGAGACGTTTCCGTGGTCATGTGGCTGGCATGACTAAACACAAAGGCGCACGGAACGCTGTTACCTTCCCACCGAAGTGGTACCTATTTATCTACTTGCAATTTCTTGCTTTCGAACGGCTAGGTTGGCAGGAGCTGGAACTAGAGACGGGAGCTCACTCCGTCATGCGGCAACCCGGGTCTCAAACTGCTGAACTGCCGACCTTCCACAGCCTGCAGTTCAGCGGCTTAACCACTTGAGCCACCGCAGCTCCTCTCAGTGCATTAAAAAACCCTTTATACAAATGAATAATATGGATTTGATTATTTACTAAGAAGAAACGAAATTGATGCTGAGATAGGTATTCTTTTTAGTAATTTGTTTATTTATACCCCTCCTTTTTCCCCAACGGGGGCCCAAGTGGTAGTCCTTTAACCAAAGTAACAACTATTCATAATGATGGCCAGGAATGGAGTTCAGAAACCCAATCTTAACCCTTTGCACTGGGAAGTAAACTCTACTAATGCCAGTGGGATTTACTTGTGCTTAGCAGTAAAATCCAATTTTTTTTCATGCACTTTCTATTTGAAGGGGGCCAGATTTGCAAAGAAAATCAATCTTGATGACTGAGTTTGTGAGACCACTAGGGCCAAACTAGACAATACATGTGACATGAGTTCGGGTGAGGATCTCTGACCCAACTTGCAGTCACATGTGACCAGGGGTCATTTCCTGCAGGGAGCGCACAGGAGCGGAGCTCCGGCAGTAAAGAGCCCAGGGGGCGGGCACATGCAAGAAGCCCTGCCCCCTGCTCCCAGCAGCCCTCAGTCAGAGCAAGAAGCAGCCAGGTAAGTTGCAAGGCCCCCCCCCGCCCCCCAGTCCAAAACAGTCCAGTGGCGCCTGAGTGGTGGGTGTTGCCTTCTGACACACCTCCGGTGATGTCAGGGGGCGTGGTATATGCAAATAAGTTATGCTAATGAGTTGTGCTAATGAGCTCTGTTTCTACGAAATGACCCCTGCATGTGACAATAGGGTTCCCAAAGCCTCTGGGACCCCAATTGGCTTGAAAGTACAGGGGGGAGGGGGGGAAAGACTTCAGCCTTCCCTTTTGTGCCATTTTCCCAAGGTAAAACGGCTGCTGGGAGCCTGTTTCCCAATCTGGGGCTCCATGTGCACTGGCCATGTGCCTTACACTGGGATAAACAGAGTCCCCGTGTCTGTTTTGGCTCGGGGGGGGGAAGGGAATGGGAGGGAAGGCTGAAGCCCAACCCTCCCCCCTGCATTTTGATCCTGAACTGATTAGGGCTAGACATGTGAAGGCCCGGGAAAAAACCCGGAAAAATTCGGAAAAAAACTGGTTTTTTCCGTTTTTTTCCCTGAAGCTTTTTTGTTTTTTTTCCCGAAAAGTTGGAAAAATTGAAAAAAGAAAAGAAAAGAAATTGATTATGGAATGTTTTATTTTAACATGATACATAAAATATTTTAAGACAAGGTGTTCAAATATTTTCCAAATCATTTCTAATATATATATATATGGTATCAGATTGATCTAATTTCTGTGCACTGAGGACAAGCAAGTCCTAGGTTACAAACTGAACTCTCCAATGCAAGAACAAGATGCATTTCTTCCTTTAGGAGGTGCTGTTGTCACAAGAAAAGAAAAAGGTTTCAGTTTTGTTTTTGCATGTGGGTGGGTATTCTGTTTGTAATAATTGTTTGGGTACACTGTATTTTTAATATGCTAGTTGTGATAATTTCATGCCAAGTAAAAATGTCCATAGTCATTTTTTATGTTCCTAAAGTAACAGAATGACTTTCAATCTAGAAAAGACAAAAGAAATGCTAATGTAGCATTTTTTTCAATTTTTCCGAAAATTTCCGTTTTTTTCCCGAGCTTCAAAATTTCCGGAAATTTTACATCTCTAATTAGGGCCCTAGAGGACTTGGGAACATTATCCCCAATATCGTCTGTGACTGCAGGTCCTGCCACATGTATCAATTCTGCCCGTGCGTTGTCTTGAAGAAAGCATTGACTGGGCTACTTATAACTTCCCCAAAACACCACTGCTGCAAATAGATTTCTGCGAAAACATAATGGCGTCCCAAAGGGAAAGTCTCCCCTCCCACACACACCGCAAGCTTTCCAATATTTCAAGAAGAGGAAGCGACATTGTTACTGAGCTGCTGATGCTTATCTTTCTTCCATTTTCCTTGCGGCAGCTTTTTTTTAATGCCCGTGCAAACACAAATAGCCAGTTCTTTCTGCCACATTATTAGGGGACCCAAAGGTCCATTTTAACCTCTCTCTCTTTTTTAATTGTAGGAACAAGTATTTGCTGATTAAGTTATACTTTAAGTTCCTAGTCTAAGGATCACTGTAGAGGATCGCTGTTACATGATCATGTCTTTCTGGCATTTGTAGAGGTCAGACGTTAAATCTGATATCAGGATTGGGTTGCCATCTCAGTGAGTTCTATGCATGTTTCCGGCCAGGGCTTTTTTTGAAGAAAAAGCCCAGCAGGAACTCAATAGCATAATAGGCTACACCCAACAGCGGAAACTCATTCGCATATTAGGCCACACCCCTGACAGTGCAGCTTATTAGCATATTAGGCCACACCCGTGCCTTTAAACTACCTTCCCTTGGCTTGCCTGGGTGCCCCACGACTGCGGGGAACCCGGGCAGGCCGGCCCTTGGACAAGCTGGGGAAGGCACGGGGAGGCATTTAAATGCCTCCCTGATCCTTCCAGGGGGGGGGGCTGTCCCACCTGCCTCAGAGTCACCAGCGGGGGTGTCGCTCTCCAGGCCCTCCCTCTGTAGCCATGCAGGCAGAGGTTTTGGCTGTAGTGGGCGTGGCCAACTCTGAAGCCAGCTGGAACTCTGTTCCTGTGTGTTCCTGCCCCAAAATAGCCCTGTTTCCAGTAAAACTAAAGAGAACAGGATTTTGCCCTTGGTCTGTAACCCAGCTCTTATAACAACAGTGCAATCATATTATTTTGCCACGCTTAGTCACAGGTGGCATGCAGATCCTAAGGCTGTGGTGCATTTTAATACTTCTGTGGTTCATTTTAAAACTTCTCTGGCCAAGGAAGAACTGGTCGTAATGTCCCTATTCTCCCCATTATTCAAATTGAAAATGTCCATAACTCTCAACTATTTAAAGTTGTTCCCCACAAATAAATACTTTTCTATGTGCCAGTATAACCTGCTGTGCTAAAGAAGCAATATATCTCTCCTTGACTGCAGTGCAGAATTAAGTGAGAAAAAAATAACTGACTGTCCTAAGTATAGATAGGAGGGCTCCAGCTAAAGTTGTCCAGTATTTAACACCCAGTGTTCCTATTATTATTCCACAACCAGTGTGAACTCACCACCAGATACTACACAAGGATTAAAGACCATATATGAACTCCCGTTTGCTCTTCATACCTCCATTTCTCCCAGTGGCTATTAATTCCCAGGAAATATCTCCTTTTGTTATTCTGTTTTAAAGCTTCCAAGTTTAATCTGTGACCCTACCTATCCAGTTCCTTGGGAAAAAGCAACGTCCTTTCTGTATCCAAGCTGTCAAGCTCTTTAAATGATTCTGGCTCTTCCACTGATTGGGTTTCCTCACTGCAAAGAAAAAGAATCATTAAACAGTGTTAGAAAGTAGATGTTTTACTGCTGGGTTGGGGTAACATTTTTTCCTACTGAGGGTGAGAATGACATAGCCAAGCTAAGGAAGCGTATAGGGTTGGTACCCTAGGTTAAAGAACTAATCACAAACAATTTATAGAAGACTGAAATCAAAAGTAGTAAAAGATGCCAATAGATGTCATAGAAGGTCTATTAT